ATGAGCCCACAGTGATTGCCTTGCTTCAAAGATGAATTTGTGTACTTTGCACTGACATACCCTATTTCATCCTTCATTAATTTCACTCGATTAGCCAGTCCCATTAAGGAAGCACAGACTTACTTGGTGTGGGGTTTGCAGGTGTCAGTGCTGGAGCTTTGATCAGAGAAGGTCCCAGGAGGGCACTTTTCACAAGTCACATCATTTGTTGCGGTGCCTGAATAAAAATCACGATTTAGAACCAAATAAAATGCATCAGGCCAGGCCTGTGGCCAGGAGCAGGACAGGTAAGGTGCACAGGTGGGATTCCTACCCCTGATTTTGACCCCAAAGCCAGGTTTGCAGGCAGAGTGCTGCTGGCAGCGGGAGCAGCTGTACTTCACGGACACCTGGCAGAACAGGCCGGGCCGGCACTCGCACACACGGCTGGAGCTGAGGGAGCACGGCTGCTTCTCCACCAGGTCTGGGGACAGCAAACACACACAGGGACAAAACGCAGCCATGTTGTGGAGTGATCTGATCAGGGTTCACCTCAGAACCTCGGGCCCCTGCCAGGTGTGTCAGTCACCTCTCCTTTCCCCTCCCAGTACCGTCTGTCAGTCCTGGAATTCCAGAGTGATTGGCAGAATTCAAAAGATGCCCTCTACCCCTAGAGAGACATTAAGCTATCCAGGTGTCCTTTGTCCCTCAAGATCTCCTCTCCTGCACCTGGTTGGTGGCTCCCTGCCCCTCTCCCCAGGGTTAAAAGGAACAGCAACCACAGACTCAGGGAGTTCTGTTGGAGCTGTTGCTAGATTCTGAGGCCTGTGGGCCAGAATAAAGCTCTGGATCCAAACCCTCCATCAGAACCGACACCTTTCCTTCAGCATCACCTTAAAGCTTCTCCACCAGAGGGAAACCTGAGGAGCAGACCCTGTTATGGGGGGAAGCTCCATCCCAGCACCACCAGAGCTCCTGCAGGCCTGGACTTATCTCCATGTGCCAACTGCAGCACCCAGCCAGCCAAAAGTGTCTGGGGTGAAACACCACACACCCCACAGCCAAAAGTGTCTCTGGGGTGAAACACCACACACCAGCCAGCCAAAAGGGTCTCTGGGGTGATCCAGCTACCCAAAAGTGTCTCTGGGTGAAACACCACAGTGCTGCTGTTTGGTCTAGCAGCAAGGGCCAGACAAGCTCAGGCACGTCCCATCTGCAATACTGGTAATTATTCCAGTAGAGCACCTTGCAAGGTGCTCTATTGGAATAAATGTAAATTTTGCTGTGAAAATTCTAAATGAATAAAACACAAAAATTAAAGTGTAAATAAAATATACAGAGAGAGAATGTAACTGTGAGGCATGTGTGGAGAAAAGCAAACCTTTTGAGCATGACACACAGGCGTCACATTGTGGCTTTTTGGATTCATTGTTCAGATATTGATCAGGTCCACATGTCAGGCAGTCTGCTGGATCCTGAGGACATGCTTTCTTTTCAACATAGCCTGGAGGAAAAAAAAGCAAAATATACAAGATACCTATCAAAAAATGGGCAGAAAACCATCCTGAAACATTCTTGTCTGCTTGTTTACCTGTTAGACACATACCCACAGTCTTCTCTTAGTTATTTGGTTTCTCTGGGACATTTTTATTTGGTTTCTCTAGGGCATTTTTGCCTTTCCCATTCAAGTGTTAAGGAACAGGGCCAGGACACGATCCCAGCTGGAATGGACTGCTGCAGAATGGGCAGTAACAAGTGATTTGCTGACAGAAAAGACAACTAAAACTCCATGAGGGCCACTGTCCTGCCACTACCAAATTCCCAGGGAACTGGGTTTCATGTTTCCTTCTTTTCTTCATTTTATTAAAAGGACTTTTAGAAAAGCTCCTCCTTCTTTGCAGTGAGCAGCTGGGTTAGCAGCAGATTTGAACAGGTTATTGCTTGAAGGAGTAGTGGATAATTAAGGTGGAAAGGGATTCTTATAACTTTTATCATGGAGGAGTCCAGAACTGACATGGGGATGTAGCAATAAAGAACCAGCAAAGGTGAACTCATTACAACCTGGTGTAAATAACTCATTACAACCTGGTGTAAATAACTCACCACAGCCTGGTGTAAATCAGATCTCTGCTTCTCACCCAACCTTACTATGACATCCCTCATGACAGGAGCTTTGGTATTGAAGAAGAAAAGAGCTTTTCTTGGGACTGTCAAAGTCACATCCCCACCCATTTTCTTCTTTTATTGGACCATTTTTTTTTCTTTTATTGGGACATTTTCTCCATCCCTTGCTCTGATTTACATATTCAACTTCTGAAGGACTCTAGTGGTGTGCCCAGGATGTCCCAGTGGGAATCCTGATGGAACTGGATGCAAACACAAATATTGGATGCAATCAAACACTAAATTTAGTCCTCTGTATTATCAGAACACAAATATAGGTCAGAAATTTCCTTTAAGAAAAACGAAAGAAAAAGACTCCTGCAAGAAGATACAGATGGTGGTGAATAAAATACCCACCCACTGAGGGGGTTTTGGCCAGTGGGGCAGTTTCAGACATTTCCAGAGCTCTTGTCTCACCAAGATGTTTCCTGTTGCTGACCTTATGTGCCTCTGAGTCACAGGCAGCCTCTAGCCCAGCAGAATGTGTCCCCTGACAAGGGACTGTTTCCTCCCTCATTTGAGACACTTTACAAACTGTTGTGACTGTGAGAATAATGTCAGATTTTCCATACCTCCATTTTATATTTTTTTATCTCTGAGAAGAAACTCATTTAGCCTAATTTCACTGTGCTAATTCACACCCAGGGGCAAGTGATGGGAAGGATGAAGGTTTGGCAAGAAAATCTCACAGATATGTGTGCTTGGCAGAAAGATTTTTAAATGTAGAGTGTGATGAAGAAATAGAGATGGAAGCAAGTCTGAATATAGAAGAAAAGAATTGCTGAGCCAGTCTCACTGGATAACCAAGGAGGCAGAGGGTGTGTTAGTTAGAAGGGGTTTTTATGGCTTAGAGCAAAGGATAAACCCACCTCAAACAAGATGATGTTTTTACCAAGCAGAAAGACAGCAAAGGCAAACAAGTCTGCCAATGGTGCAAGTAGAAAAAAGCTCTCAGAATTTTCCAGTGCAAGAAAACTGAAGAACAACTTCTAGCTTAAACTGTAATGTACTAACTTTTAGTAATTGGAGAACAGTAACATGAATATGGTAATTATAGTAGTTATGATGGGCTATAGGTAAAAGTTAAGGTCTAGATTGGTTCTACTGTGTTAAGATGCTCAGCAAAGAAAAGTATATAATTCATTGTAACCAAAAGAAAAGTATGTAATGCATTATGACCAAAACCAAAGGGTCTCCAGGCCTGCCTGCAGCTGGAGCTGACAGCTGTAGGCACAGGCTCAGGATAGAATAAACTGCATTTTGGAGAGCCCCTGGAGTCCCACATCTCTCATTCAGGCTCTTACAGGCAAGTTTGAAATGAATTCTTTGACCTGGCTACTTCAATGTCGAGTGAAATTATAAAATCCCATAAAAATTCGATCAGGTTGTCTGGTTTGCATGCAGACTGCACAGGAGCAGGACAGAGGAGAGGAGATTCACATCTGGAGCCACATTAGAGAGTGATTAATGAAACTGCTCCTTTCTTCAGGGACAAAATACAACTCTGCAGATCCACAGGAGTCCTACTGTCTCCATGAGAAGGGCTCCATATAAATTATATCATTATAAATTGAATTATAAGCATACCTGAGGGGCACTGGTAACAGCAGTTTTGTGATGTTTCATCATAGAACCAATTCTCGCGTGTGTCACAGGAATGAGATGGAGTTAATGATGTCTAGAAATTGAAAGAGACAAAAGACACAATTAGAAAACAATTCATTAATTAGAAAACAATTAATTCTATACTAGAGCAGATCCCAATGCCTGTCTCAAGCATTGGTGTTTGCAGATGGTAAGGAAAAGCCCACAGTTTTTTGAAAATTCAAGTATTCCCAAAGCAACTCAATTATTGTCTGCATTTCCATTAGAAACATTGCAAAATTGCAACGCTAATTGCAGTTAGCAAAAAAAAATTGTCCTAAAATTAAAAATAAAATTATTTAAAAAATTACTTCCCTAAAATTATCTCATGTTAATTGGAGCTAAGGATTTGGTGTAACCCACAGAGGTCACTCCCGTTTGCAGTATCCAAGTTTTCTGTTATTTATGCAGTGACACTGTTTGAATTTAGCAACCTAGATTTCTATTATAAACCAATAAATTATTTTACTTATCATTTAGGGACAAATCCTGCAAGAGGATTTTGCCTTGAAAAGAATGCAAATGCTCCCATGATGAAGCCCTTATTCAAATAACTAATCCCACTTCTGTTGTGAGTGAAGGTTTTCAGAAATAACCTATCATCACTACATAACTAATATTTATTTAGTTTAAAAATAAAACATTAAATAGTTTTGATTTTAGCTTACAAAATGAGACCCAACTACAATTTGTAACATAATAAGATTTAGTTTTTGTATGGCTGGGCCACTACATGCTCTGGGAAATTACACTGCTACAAGTGTTCTGATGAAAAAATCTGATTTTTGAACTTGGTATCTCCCTTAAGAATCCCCTAAAAATGTTGTTATCTGAAATTCATTTTGAGTATTTACTAGAAGATATGAATAGTGATTGTTTTTGTGGGGGGGTTTGGGGGTTTTTCTGTTAAGAATTGATAAATCCCCTGGAGATTTTCCCACACGATACTGGTAGAGCAGTTAAATATTTCAGAAACTCCACATCTCACTTTCTGCCAATGAATTTCCCACTGGCCTTTGAAACAATACTTGCTGTCCCTGTGCAGAATCTCATGCCTAACTCATTCCACAGCCTGTTCTCCTATTTAACACACATAAAATATAAAAAATTACATAATTTCCATCAGAAAACAGGAGCTTTCGGTCAAGGAGGAAATGAACAGAAGAACAAGAAATAGAAACACATCGAAACCATTAAATTTCATCCAAGCCCAGTAACAGAAGTGAGACCTGCTTGAGAGGAGCAGGAGTTTCTGCCTGCTCAGCCTGACTCAAACCCCCTCGAGAGGGGCACCTGGTGCTTTCCTGCCCTGAGGAGGAAGCCCCAGACTGGAGGAAAGGGAAGCGGTGTCTCCTCATCACCTGTGCCATTCACATCCTCTGCAATAATCTGAAATAATCCCTTCACCCAGGACTTTTATCCTGGGAAGCTGAGAAGCCTCAGAGAAAAGGAAAATAATTCTTATTTCATTTGCTTCTCCTGTGTTGTGCTCATGTGGAATCTGTTTGGAGATTGTTTTCCCACAGGTAAATGCCGGATTAGACTCCAATGTGAGTTATTTTGGCTCATTAGCCAATTTCAGAAATAACCTTTCATCACTACATAACCAATATTGTTGTGTTGGGACTCTGGAAAAAGTCACGAGTTTTCATTATTATCTTTTTAACATTTAATAAGTATCCTTTCTGTATTCTTTAGCATAGTTTAGTATTCTTTATATATAATATAAATAGTGTATATATATATATATATATTTATATATATATATAGTATATATAGTGTGTATATATATAGTGTATATATATAGTGCATATATATATAGTGCATATATATATACATATATATATGTGTATATATATACACCTATATATACATATATATGTATATGTATGTGTATATATACATATATGTATATATATGTGTATATATATACATATATATACTATATATACACATATATATAATGTATATATATAATTTATATAATTTATATATCAAATATATAAATTATAAACCATAAAATAATCTATATAATATATACTGTACATATTATTTTATAGTTTATAATTTTTATATTTTTATATAAAAATAATTTATATTTATTGTATGTATTTTACATAACTATATAATTATAGTTTATATAAATATATATTATAGAAATAATTTATAATTTTATCTATTTATAGAAAATATATAAAACATTATTTTTATATAGTATATAAATTTATAAATCGATAAATATAATATATATAGTATATATTTATATCTATAAATATAAAGATATATTTTATATATAAAGATATTTTATATATTTATATAAAAATAATTTAAAATTGTATATATTTATATAAAAATCTAAAACATTTTTATATAGAATATAAATTTTATAAATATATAAATATAATATATAATATATAATTATAAATATAAAGATATATTTTATATATAAATATATTTTATATATTTGTATATAAACAATTTATAATTGTATATATTTACATTAAACTAAATAAAACATTATTTATAGATATAATATAGTTTTTATAAATATATTAATACATATAATATAATATAGTATAATAAAGTAATAAATTAGCCCTCTAAGAACTTGGAGTCAGACATGATTCCCTCCTTTGTCGGGGCACCCGACAAATCCAACACTCCCCTCTGTGTGCGGGGGTGCCATTGCCACACAGACACTCCCAGAAATGACCAGTCACTCCTCAGTTACTTTGTGAATTAACTGTTGCTATAAAGAAAATTCAAGAAACAGCACCATCCTGGCTGTGGCTAAGTCAGCCTGGATTAGTTTCTCTGCAGAGCTGTGGGAAGTCACCACAAATACCCAATTTTTTCTTCCTGGCTCTCCTGAGCAACAACTCTGGCTGCAAATGAAGCTGAATTTTAAACAAGAGTACAAACCCTTGAATTATTGAGTTACTAATGCAGCACATAAGCTTGCAGCTTATTTAATTGTCTGGTTTGGGGTTGAAATAAAAGAATAGTGTTTGTGTAAAAACCTGAGAGAACTTTTTCAAATGGGTGAGAGCTTTTTTTAAAAGTTACTGTGCCAAGAATATGAAAATCAGGAGTTTAGTATTAATTTCTGCTCCTGGTTCCAACAATGCACATTCTGATTATGGATTTGACCTGGTGGTAGCGCAGGGATAAATCAAACAGGCCTACAAACTCAACAGATTGTGCAGATATACATACAAGAGAGTACTCAAATGTATTTTCCCCCTTTCCACGGGAGGGCAGCTCTGCTCCACAGCCACCCACAGCACACAGCTCATCCCTGGCACCTCCACAAATGCTGCTCTCAATGGTCCAGCTACAGGCTCAGCTTTGTACCCACCTGTGCTGCTACTGAGCCAAACCCAAGGTGCTCTGCTCTGAAAGAACACCTCTCAATTACTGGTAAAAATTCATATTTTATGATTGGCTTTTCGCAAATATTCAAATGAATATTATACGTGTTATGTTAGAAAGTTAGGCTGTGTTAATTCTCTTAAGTATTGTGTTAAATACAGTTTAGATTATAACAAAATGTTAAAACAGAAACTCTGCTATATAAGATATTTTTTTTTAAGAAAGGACACACACCGAGATAGCAGCCACAGGACGCCTGAATCTTTCAGAGAAAGAGAATTTATTGCTCCATTATCAGGAAAAATGAACTTCTTCCTGCCTCGATCAGCTCCTGCCCCGTCAGGATTCAGAGGAAGAAGCTGGCACTGCCCAGACAGAATCCTGTGTTTGAATGGAATTTCTGCATCATGGATGAGGTGTATGAATATGCAACAGGCTGTTGCTTTTAAGGGTTAATCCTCTGTTAATGTGGGTCCTTTTCCGGGCTTATTTTGCCCAGAAAGAGGTACCTAGACTGTCTGTAACTATTTGTTTTTATTGTCTGATATTGTCCTAATCCTAATTGTCCAAATTATTATTACTCTAATTTTATTACTATTTTCATAACTATTTTATTACTATTAACCTTTTAAAATTCTAAAACCAAGTGATTGGCATTTGTCACAATTACCCTATCTCTAAATAAAAAAAAAAAAAAACAAAAAAAAAAAAACCAAAAAAAACCAATCTAGCAGAAATTCATTATAACAAATCCCAGCAGGATGTCTGTGACTGGGAAACCACCTTCTGAAGACCCCATCACATCTAATCCATAAGCAAAATGCCTGTAAGTCAGCATCTGCTCAGCAGAGGTGTTTCATGAGTATAAAAATTAGCACAGATCCTTTCAGTGATAAATAACATTCATGTCAGTGCTCAGCATCAGCCACCATGCCCCCATCCTCGTCATCTTTGTCCCTCCAAATTCTAAAGCTGTTTGACTCCTAACGTGACCTGTAACAGCAACACAGTGATGCAAAGTTCTGCTCTTAACTCAGCAGGAAGGTTGGTCCCCATTGGTCCCCTGAGAAATACCAGATTTATTGCAATAACATCTGCTATTGCCATTAGAACTTAGCCTTCTGTTCGTAAATGTGTATTATTTAAAAAAACCCTTTAACTCTTTAACATTAACCCCAGCACTCTCCTCCTCTAAGGCATCAATGAAGAAGTATCAGTTTTATTACAATAATATCTGTTATTGCCATTAGAACTTAGACTTCTGTTTGTAAATGTGAATTATAAAAACAACCCTTTAACATTCCAAGATCACACACATATTGCAGTAAGGCATGTGGCTGTGGTGGACAGTAGGTCTTTATCCTTCTCCCTGAATTTCTTGTCAAACAAAGGCTTTGGATTCAGCAGGGGCTGGAACACATCTTGTGAAAGGAAAGATGACAATTCCTGCCCTGCTTGGGCTGCTCTGGGACAGCAGGCACTGGTTTAGAGCTTTCAGTCACTCAGCAAGTCAACAATTATTTTTTTCTTTTCTGTATGCATGGCAGATCAAGGACCAATTAAATAAAGCAAACATAGAGATCAAAAGTATTTGGGTTTTTCAGCACTTGCTTGAGAGAATTTGTTTTAGGAAATAGGCTATTTGCAGCCCTTCTGACTTTCTACAGAAATGTTTGCTATTCCAATTTAAATAATGGAGTTGCAAAAGTGGCGCTGAATTCAGTGGCTACTCTGCAATTCAGTCAGGACAAGGTTTGACTCATTTATTTATGGTTTTTTGAACTCATAGAGAAAAAGTGACTGTGAGGCAGAGTAAGAAATGGGGCTTGCTACAAATGAGCTGTAAGTCAGGAAGAAAGCATATTACGGTAAAAAAGAAAAAAATCTACCAGCAGTGGCTATTCTAGAACTGACTAATACTGCAGCAAAACAGTTAACTGTCTGTCAAGCCTCTATCCAAACTCTGACAGCACAGAAAAAGCTGAAAATCTACAGCTTCAAGTAGTCAAGCTTCATTTGCTGGATAGTAAAGACATTATAACAAGTGAGAGTTCTCTGAATATAAAAAGAAACAAAACCCAAACTGTGGACTGAGGTAAGATGGAGCATGGTTTAGAAATATGACCACTGAACAGTGACTTGCTCACATGAGAAAGTATCACTTGTGCTGCATTAGCAGTAAGAGCAAATGTTGCTGCAGGAGAGGCAGTGCAGGACAGGGCAAAGCCAAATCCTCATCCCAGAAATGTCTGTGAAAATTTTACACTGAGTCTGAATATTGACAATGAGATCAGAAAACCAAATTTTCTCTCTGCCCCATTCATTTTGTCAACAAATTATTAAAAGTGATGTCAAAGAGAAAATATCTTTTTGTTTCTACTGGCTTTTCTCCTACAGCAGTCTGCATTCAGCACACTGGACAAGCTGATCTGAATGCATTCCCAAGAATTCCTCTGGGGAGCAGCAATTCCAGACCCCAACCCCACAGAACTCTTATCCCTCTGTGCCTCAGGGAGCAGACAGTAGCAGGACAGATAATGTGGGGAAAGTAAACCAAATTTACAATGTGGGAGGGGAATTTACAGCAGAAGACACAAGAGCAAACTCCCACTCCTACCAAAAGAACCAGGGGGATCTTTTTCAAATGTCTGAAGAGAGCACAGAACTTGGGTATTTTTAAAGATTTAAGTGGAGTCAGTGTCTTGTAAAGAAATCTGGCAGCCCAAGTGATGTGCTGGATTTTTTAGTTCCCATGTGCTGACAGGTGTTTTAGGCTAATACATGCCTGTATTTCCACTCTAAGGGAATTAGCTCATTTCTCATCCAACACTCCATGCAAAACTCACCTGCTTGACCTCACCTGGGCAGCCTCTCTGTGCCTGACCTTTCTGCTCTTTAAATGTGAATTTTTCATTGTCAGCCAGGGAAATCACCTGGATTTCTGCCAGGTGCTGAGGGCCCATTGCCGTGTGTGCCACGGGAGGAGGGGACCAGTGGCAGTGTGTGGGTGGAAGCAAACCCACAGAGAGCTGATACCATCAGAGCAGGGAGCTGCTGTGCATCTACAGCATCAGCTGAGCACAGCTAGTGGGTTGTGTCTATTTGAAGTGATTTTTGATTCAGAAATAGTAGTGGATTCATGAGGAAGTCAGTGTTAGTAAGGCAGGGAGGTGTAAAGGAGAAGATCTATTATTGTTTGGCCTCTACACCTTTCTATTCACAAATAGTAGTGGATTCTTGAGGAAGTCACGAATGTCAGTAGGGTGGGGGGTGTAAAGGAAAAGATCTATTATTGTTTAGCCTCTACACCTTTCAATTTGTCTCTCCTGACTTGCAGCAGCCCTCTGACCCAAGCTCTGCAAGGATGTGCCTGTCACCGAGCACACAGGCAAAAATAAAACCCCCCAGCCCTATGAAAAATAAAACTCCCCAGCCCTTTCCTCACTCCCAAGCTGTTTTGTTCCTTTTTATACTCACTTGTTGATAATGTGCCTGGAGCTGCAGCAGCTCCAGCAGAGCCAACCAGATGCAGATCCCAGCTCATATCCCACTCTCCCGCCTGCAAAAATCTCAGAGAGGGCAAATTCCCCTGGCTGCTCTGCTTTGTGCCTTTATCTCCTGAGAGCTCTGCTCACCACCTTTAACCCACAGGGCTGCACAAACCCTGCTTCTGTACCCATCCCACACCCCCCTCAAGGGCTCTGCACCCCCAGGATGGCTCTGCACCCCCGGGTGCCCCAGATTTCACCATGCAGGCTCCTGCTGTCCCCCTGCCTTACCTGTGGGGATGTCTGGCTGTCCTGGAGCAGCAGCAGCAGCCACAGTCCCAGAGGAAGGCTGCAGGCAGCCATCTGAGGGGGTGTTAGATGTCCCTGGCTGCCAGCACTGCAGGTGACACAGGTGGGCTGTCCCTTCTGGAGGCTGAGACCCTTCCACAGCCCCACCAAGTCATGCTCCTCGCCTGTTCCTGCAGTCCAGAGTCATCCCAGCTGCTCAAGGCAAGCAGGCTTTGAGACTCAGATTGAGCTGAGGAAACAATTCAGAAGGAAGGGGGAGGGGGGCTGCCCCAGAAGAGAAAAAAGTAAAAATAGAACAAAACAAAACTGCCTCAGTGCCCAGCCCTGGCGCTGTCGGTTTCTGCCAGTCGGTTGTGAGAGCCCAGGTTGTCACCCAGGGCTCAGGGCTGGCTGTGCTCAGGCTCCTGAGTCATCTGGGCTGCCCTGAGAGCTCCTCAGCACCCCAAAGCCCTGGCCAGGCACTGGTCCAAGCCCTGCCCCAGCCAGCAGCCACTTCTTCAAGAGCTGCAAGCAAGCCTCAAGGAAGTTCCCAGTCAGAAACTCTAATTCTTTCAGCACAGTCATTCTACTCCTGTTTGGATGAGTGGGTGCAGAGTCACAACCAACCGTGGTGACTCCTCTAAGATTCAGGCTTTGCACGTTGCCACTTCAAATACCAACACACTGCAGACCTTCCTCTTGAGAAAGCTTCCTTTTCCCCTTGAGAAAGCTTCTCTTTCCTCCAATCCCAGGAGAAAATAATAATTCCTGGTGATGACAATCATCCCTAAGACTGCACTCATCATTTCACTCACTTTCATTTGTTCCTCTGGATGGTTTTTGCTCTGATGCATGGAAATGTTTCAGTTGGTTGAGGATGTCATGAAGCCTCCTTATCTGCCCTAGTAGAGTCAAAAGTGAAGGTTAGCCACTTCAAAAAGGCAAAGTGTCTTGAAAAACCTCTGAGGTACACAGGAAAATAATGACAATTTGAATTCTCACACCTCTGGGTTGTTTTTTCTTTGCTTCGCTCCCTTATCAACAACAACAAAAGAAATGAGAAAACACTGAAAGTCAGATAAATTATTATTATTTTACTAAAGACCTGCAGCCACCTCACTGCCATCACCACCAAGCACCAAAGATGAGCATTCCACAGGGACCCTGTGTAAATATTTTCGCAGCTGCAGCAATTTCAATTACCTCAATTTCTTTCTCCAGAATTCCATCATACAAACCCCAGGAATTTTCATCCTGGCGTGTGTCACACACAATGCATCTCTCCCCTCTGCCAGGGCACTGCTCAGTTTCTGAGCTCTCTTAGCCACAGAAGCTCTTGGGGTAGATATGCCTTATAGATGTAGACACAACTAAGAATTTCAATGCCAAATCTTGATTTTTCCTGATTACGTAACGGGCTAGAACACACCTTAATCTTCTGTAGTAATATGCCATTAGGCAATTATCCCAATTTATTAATGCAGTTTCAAATAACATAATAATCAGGACAATTGATGAGATCTGTTTGTATTTTTTCCCTCCCCTCTGTGTTTTTTTTCCTCTTATCAATCCCTATCCAAGCTTTTCTAGCTAAAGGACAGCACCAACATCAGAGAGCCTGGAAGGTTTAAGTTACACTGCTGAGGTCAAAGTATCTGATGCAACAATTACTGACGCGAGCACAAAAATCTGTGTGTAAAAGACTTTCCCAGAATTAGTACAGGGAGAGTTTTCTGGCCTATTTTCCATAGGAAAACCAAAACGAGCATACCAAGGATTTTTATATATATATGTCTATTCATTCCTTTTTAGTGAATGATATCAATAATTTTTAACCCATTGGATAACTTAATTCAAATTTGTCTGAGAGGGCAATGCCATTCAGTTTTACAAAGGTTCATGGAACAGGATGATGTTGGATAAAGGAACAAGATGATGTTGGATAAAGGGACAAGTGGCTGGTGGCACTCACTGAGGGAAAGGCTCCGGGTGCTCCTGAGAGGAAAAACTCCACTCACACCTCCAAAGCTAAACTGCACTGCCCAGCTGCCATTCTTCCTTGAACATCTTGATCATTCAGTTCTTTCTTGATTGAACCAGATATTCAAAAGGATAGGAAGTGAAAAGTGCTTATTGTTGCTGCTGGCTTTTCAGAAAGGCTGTTACAGGACAAAATGTTATTACAAGTGTGCAACAAAAGCAACACAAATAAAGGGGGTGAAGAGGTTGTGCCACAGGAGCATCACAGCCTCTGTGCATTTCCAAGTGAATGCAATTTTTCAGACTTGGTGTATTTTGATTTCAAATACAACAAAAGGGGCTTTCCAAAAGAAGCCCTATCAGTAACTGGAAGAAGCACCTCCATTTTATAACAAACCCACGCTGCTGTTCTCTACATGGTGGCTCTGTTTCCTAGAAAATAACCTCCTCTGTTAATATGAAAAAACCCCACAAACAGAACAAATAGAAGCAAATAACCAACCCCTCATTTTCTGGCCTTCCATCATAGGACAGTGTCTGTCAGGAAAAAAGAGGAAGCCCCTGTGAGAATGCTGTTATTAATTATAATATTTATTTTATATTTGATTACACACATCTGTCTCTGACACCTGGATCACTTTTTGCTTTAGGTGTCAAAGGTAGTGATGCCCTCACACAAGCTTTCTTGGCATTTTCTATTTTAATTCAGAAAACCCTGTAAGTCAGGGGCTGTTCAAATGCCACTTGGTGCCTGGAGCAAGAGAATGCAGAGACCCAAATAAGCCACAAAGGAAAATCTCCAGCACATGCCCAAAACATCCTTTCAGCAATGTCTAGAGCCTGGCAGCAATGGAATACTCCAGAAAGATCATGGGTACACACACACATGTGCTCAAGCAAAAGTACTCATGACATTTTCTAATTTTGAAATAGCTCATGTTGTACTTTTGCCATGGTTTCTTCTGCTTTTAAATATGTATGTTCTGTTAATATATATCTAGATGTATATGAGGAAAAAAAAAACACCAAGAGAAGTGTCATCTCTAAACTTCTGACAGATAAAAGAGACCATGAAATTTAAAAGGATACATGTTAAAATACCTTGTCTAAAATCTGTATTTCAGTGTCTGTCAGTGTTGCTATTCAGAGTGATGCCAAATTTATTTTTGCCTTTATATATTCTCTATATTCTTTATTTATATTTGTGTAGCTCTGTAGTTTATTATTGTATTCAAAGCTAGCATTTTACCCACTCTGTTAGACAGAAATTAATTCCCTGGGGGCTCCAAGCCCTGAGGATCCAAGGTTTGGCTCTCTGGGAGCCAAGGTTGAAATCAGCTCCCTGACACACATTTTCATAAAGAAAATTCAGCTCCTATCTAAGAGGGTGGAGGGTTTCAGAAAAGGGTAGAAGCAGGGAGGAGTTACTTCATCACCTATGTCTCTAATTGGGGATTCTTGTCAGTTATGGTAATTTGCTAAACAAATAAAAATTGTATCTGCTTTATGTTACATGTGCATTTTGGCACTTTCCATCGAGTGTTCTGTGTGCTATAAGGATCCTTATAAAGGATAATCTTTATCTATAAGGACATATCTATCTATCTGTAAGGATATATCTATCTATCTATAAGGATATATTTATCTCTATCTATCTATAAGGATATATCTATCTAATCTATCTATAAGGATAACCTTATAAAGGATAATAAAAAGAATCCCTTACAATGAACCCCTATCATCACCTAACTCTGTCTCTCTTGTACTTTTAGGACCACTGAAACAGCATCAAGAGCATTTTGCCCGCAGTATTCTGACATAAAAATCACCAAATTCTTGCCCATTACCAGATGAAATAATGCCAAATCTTGAAACTTCATGAGGAGCCCCAGGAGCACTAAAGGCAGGGTTGGTTGAGATACACATTACACACCTTGGGGTGCAAATTAAAAAAGAGAAGAGAAATGAAGGCATTTCCTGCAATGAGGAGTGCAGAGAACCTCCTGTTTAAGAAGGAGAGCAAGAAATTAAGAAAGCCAAGAATTACTTTCTTGCTGCCTTTCTTGATCTATTTAGGCATTTTAGCCACGGGAGAGCTCTGTGCCTGGGTGACCCAGATAGAGACACTGTGGTAACAGCACACAGGTCTTGATGATTTTATATACACTGAACTTCTCAGTAAACATATATATGTACAGATAAAAAAAATAAAGAACATAATATATAATATATATCTATATATCTATATCTATATATAATATATAATATACAATATATAATATATATAACATACAACATATTATATAATATATAATATATAATATATAATATATAATATATAATATATAATATATAATATATAATATATAACATATACTATATTATATATTTATACTTTATATATTATATATTATATATTTTTAAATATATATACTGAACTTCTCAGTAAATACATCTATAAAATATAATATCTAGAAAATATCTATATCTATAATATATAAATATATAAATATATGTATTATGTATATTATCTATTATATATATCTGTATATATATATCTATATATCTAATCTATACATATATATGCACATTTTAAATTTTTTAAATATATATACTGAACTTCTCAGTAAATCTTTCCACAGAGGACAGAAGGAGGGAGAGCAGCACTGGTGCAATGAGATCTCACCAAGATCCATCACTCAGCCACTCATTGGGGTTTGAGCTGGCTGTAGCTGACACAGTATTTGAAATTGCACATGGAAGAAACAGAACCTCATTTATGCCACAGAATGACAAAATTCTGTCCCTCTCTGCCTCTCTGGAGCTGATATTTATTTGGTGACCCATGAAATTCTCATTCTTAGTATTAAATATTTGTTAATCCATTTAATTATGTGACTTTAATGGATTAAATACACTGCAGGTACTCTTGAGAACATGATTTGAGAGCTGTCTTGGTTAAGCAATGGCATAAAACAGGGTACACTTAGGAAAAAAAATGTTACCATATTAATAATAAAGCTAACAGGTCTTAATTTCCACTTACACTCCTGTACATGTCATTTAGATAAATTTTATGTGGACAAAAAAATCTTATGCCTTTGTTTTCATTATCTTAACTAATACTACTGCCTTACATAAAGAGACAAAATAACTAATGTAACAACAAAAAATCTGTATAAAATATCTTTTACTGCCCCATAGTAGCCTCAAAACTAAAGTACATTTTGAGTCAGACTGAAAAATGAGAAGAGCTGACAGAGAATTCAGTTCTCTTAAGAAAGCAGGGGCTTCCATGAAAGAAACCAAAATGATATCACAGAATTACTGTCCACAGGCTGAGAGAGACAGAGAGGGAGAGAGAAATGACCTTAGATGGGAGATCACACCATGGCTGTGCTTTCAGTAATTCTGACTGCAGCTTCTGGAATGGTGGGACAGATAGACATGGTCACTCTCCACAGCAAAAGCTCTTGGAAAAGTAATTTGGAAAAGCACCAAGAGCTCCAATTCTGTGCATTTTAATCCCAAATGAAAAATAAGAAAGTCTGGGGAAGACTGGCCAGGGGGTTAAAACACAGAAGTTGGACTCATTAATTCCCCACAGTGTCACTGACCTTTTGGGTAACTCATATCCTTTCTTGGTACTCTGCTTCTCCTCATCTAAAAGCTGAGTTTTAAAGTTTACCTAATAACAGAAACCTGATGAAATTTCCTTTGTGGACACAAACAAAAGAAACTTGGGAAATGTTAAATATTTTTTGCAAAAGAATCAAATGGGAAGATTTTCAGGATGTAATTTTTCCAAATACTGTAAAATTTCTTTTCTTTGACTTGTTGAGCATCTCAGCCCTAAAAATTTAGGGTGTTGTTTTCCTCTTCCTGGAAGTTTTGCTCTGCAGAAACCAATGGAAGGGGAAAACCAAATCCTTAGTTCTGGTCAGGCATTATGCAGGGAGCTGGTGAAATTGAGGGGTTTGACTCCAAAGAGAAAGGGCAGAACTTCTCTTGTGTTTTCAAATTTGAGACACTCTGAAAACAAACCCTTATGGGCTTTGAAAACACAAGTTCCAAAGAGATGAAAGCCCCCAAAAATCAAAGTTTGCAAATGATTCAAAAAGCAAGTTCAAGCCACATGCAGCTGTTTCACCTGGGCATTCTGGGGAGAGTCACTGCTTGATGTGCTGATAACAAAACAGAACACATAAATCAGAAAACTCTTGATATTAATTCTTACTGGCAGCGAAAAACACCTGATCCTGAGACACCACAAAAATTATCTTAATAGGAGAAGGCAAACAAACAGCAAAGACCATCTAACACAGGTACTGAGAAATAGGTGGGAGCTGCATTTTAACAGCTGAACTGCATTACTCTGTTAAAGCAATCACAAACACATCATTTACTGCATCTGTCTAATTAGGCAAAGCTGGATTTCCCATCTCGTGAATCAGTGTTATATATATGAAACACAATCAGAAAGAGGAACTAAACCACCAGTTTTACTACCAAAACATCAGGCAGAAGAGAACTGACACACAGAGCCAGCCATTAACAGAATACACAGCTGCCCAGAATAAATCAGTACGTTCCTAAGTGCTAAATATGGGAAAAAATATAAATCCAGGTCAAGGCCACCTCCAGGAACAGCAGACAAGCTATCCCATACTTCTGTGCCTACACAATCAAGTCCAGTTTTGTATTATTTTGTATTATTTTGTATTATTTTGAGGCTTAGGAAACTCTTGGCCTCAAAACATTTCAGTATTCCTGAACCCCACAATCTCAACAAACCCCCCACTCCCTGTTTTCCCTGGAAATGCAGATCCAGCACTGGCTCCAGCACAGAGTCACTGTCCAAGCGCAGAAGCTGCTTTAACACTGGCTGAAATGCAACTTTCCAAGCAGTGAGTAGATGTGTTCCTTTACAGTGTACCCCCAGGTGACATCTCAGTCCCCTCCCCTGCATGGAAGGTTTTGTTCTCCAGGATTGTGTAAGGTGCTGCAGGACAAAGGCACCCTGCAAACCTCATTACTGCAGAACAAAACATTCCTGTACCCACTTGTTCCAGATTGCAAGGCAAGATTTTTATTCTATTGCCATCTGTATGGCAGTTGTCTTTAGTCAAGTGAGCAGTTTTCCTTATCTCTTCCACAATCACTCCTCCCTCAGGGGAGACACCTGCTGATAACAGACTATTAAATGTCAGTACATGGCTGATAAGACATCTGCTGATAACAGCCATTGAATGTCACTGCATGGCTGATAAGAACTGCAGCATCCCATTGGGAGATGTGAGCCCAGGGGGAGGAGCCAAGCATTCCTACCTGGATATAATCTGAGATTCTGGAACACCAGCACAGCTTCTGCACTGGATTCCCAGAGGAGCAGCAGCTGCCTCTGCCCCTGGACCTTCAGAGGCAGAGACTGCACCTTTCTCCAGGATCCTGCTCCAGCAGAGCCAGCCCTGACACTGCAGGAGGGCTGAGCCACAATTCCAATGGCACTGCTGCCAACAGCCTGACCCACAGGGTGTCAGGTTGGGTTCTCTGTCAGTGTTGGTTTAGTTTACTTCATTTTCTATTTTATTTTCTTATTAAAGAACTGTTATTCTTGCTCCCATATCTTTGCCTGAGAGCCCCTTAATTTCAAATTTATAGCAATTCAGGAGAGTTTACATTTTCCATTTCAGGGGAGGCTCCTACCTTCCTTAGCAGACTTTCCAACACTCCAACTGCCCCTCACAGCAAGTTCACCTGTGCAGGTCTGCCCTTACAGCACTCCAGATGCCATGCAGTGGAGATGGGAGGAGAGCACATGAATTTAAAAGAGAAGCTCCACAAACAGGAGCATTTCCAGGCTGTTTGAGCTTGCAAATGAAGGCAGGGTCACACAGGCCAGAACCAACACACAGAGACAAACATCAGTGAGCATGGGCAGCATCACCAACTTCTTTCATCTGTTTCTAATGAAGGGTCATAATCACACCTCCAACACTTCCACAGGTGTGAAACACTGAATGTATTCCCATCTATCAAGAGACATTTTGAATTCAACGTTGGTTCCAACCTGCATCCACCAGAGAGATCTAACAAAGGTTACTCAATCTACAGCATTACCTTTTCTCTGTTTATATTGTGGATCAGGCTTGCTGTAATTTATTTCAGGATAAACTACAGAAATGTTTATGATGTCTTGAGTTTGAAGGCAAGGTATTAAAAATTTTGAATTTGCCCAATTTGGTATAAAATTTGGCACCTAGTGTTCTATAGTCACTGGATTAGTTTATTTTTAAATTAGTATTTCTAATAATGTTAATTATGTGACCAATTCCATTCAGTTGACCCTACAGCTACCTAAACCCAAGTTAAGCCATGCTAAGTCATGCTTGCAATATTCCTCTCCTTGTTTAAAAAAGCATTTTCATGCATTTGATTTAATAAATAATGTATTTCATATAAAATTAAGTGAATGCCAACAAGCTGCACAAACCAAATTAATTTTCTCAAGTTAGCTCCCTAAAATACATCTGAGGTAGGAATTTTTGTTTCAGAAAATTCAAAGTAAAATAAAACATCAGTTTTATTGTTTTCAGACATGGAAATTAAGATCAGTCTATAAAGTTCAAACAAATCACTCTATGTGAAGTAGTCTTGGTACAATTTAAAAATTTTTAAATGGTTTTTGGCTTATCTCCAGAAAACTTGGAAAAGTAGAGGTAAGCAGAATATGCAACCATTTTAAGGCATTATCTAGCTCATTGATGAATAAAATCTCAATTTAACTTTTTTTTCCACGTTCAAAGTTACTCTGATGTACTACACTGTGTAGCTACACACATTTCACTGAGAATAAACTGAATTTTAAAAATTTTTACAAATCATTGATGAACTCAAGTTTAGCACACTAGAAAACTGCGTGTCATGTTTCAAATATTTGGAAATAAACATATTTGTGTCACTCCACTGAGCCAGGCCCTCCACAGGCCAATTCCTCACCCTGGCATTCAGAGTTAGTGCTACACTGGGGTCACTCAGTTGGGGATGCACCAATGATCCTGCACTCATGACTTTACCCAGCCCTGGCTGGGACACTCCATGCAGCTCTCAGCAGCTGTAAAAGGCAAAAAATGCAAAGTGAACTGTACAAACTCAGACCTGTCTATTGGCTGCTGACATAAGCACATGACTATGAAAACTGGGGAAAATCTGTCCAAAGCTTTATTTTTATCCAAACTGCTTTGTTTCTGAGTTGTTTCCACGTGCTGTGCTCATCCCTTCCCCAGGGCAGTCACGATCCAGAGTGTTGAGGGGGTCTGAGCTGAGGGCTGCTGCCTGCTGTCCTGGTTTGCTCTGCCAAACCTCAGGTGTGCCAAGTGAGGCAGTGCAGGAACTTGTCAGTTCTGCCTTCTGCTGACAATCTGGACACCGGGTCCTGAAATCCAAATAAAGAGGATATTAATCAAAGAATGCCAAAGGGACTTTTCCCATTTTGATGAAGACTGGTGAGCTGAACTCTTTTGCCAGGTACTCAACTCCATTTGCTTTTTTGTCTCTGTGCACACCAGTCAGCAGAAGGAAAACATTTCCCAGTAGTGATAAGGAGATACTCCTCCAGGCATTTTTGTTTGCTCAGCCCTCAATAATCACACCCTTTAGAGATGGGGCTGCAATTTCCATTTGTGCAATTCCCAACTGTCACCATCATATTTTCTGAAAAATCCCTTTTTGTATAATTAAATAAATAAATAATTAAAAGAAAAAGAAACTGTGTTGAGCTATCTGGGAAAATTCAGGAGGTTCTTCTTTGTTCAGCCTTGGCTGTGAACTCTGCCCATCTTCAGGGTCTGTTCTTCAGCTCAGGCTACAGCCAATGTCTGGTGCCACCATTTGTGGTATTTTCAGGGTCCCCCATGGCAGGAAGGAAATGATGAATCTGACTCCATGTTCTTAGAAGGCTAATTTATTATTTTATGGTATTAAAGAATGCTATACTTAACTATACTAAAGAATAGAGAAAGGATACTGAAGGCTAAACAAGATAATAATGAAAACTCATGACTTGCCAGAGTCCCCAACACAGCTGGACTGTGATTGGTCATTAAGTAAAAACAATTCACATGAAAGCAATGAAACAATCACTTGTTGGATAAACAATCTCCAACCACATTGCAAAGCAGCAAAACACAGGAGAAGCAGATCAGATAATTATTGGTTTCATTTTTCTCTGAGGCTTCGCAGCTTCCCAGGAGAAGAATCCTGGCAAAGGATTTTTCGGAAAATATGATGGTGACCGCCAGCACCTCCTGGGACTCTGGAGGCTGTGCTTACCAGGTGAGGGTAGGGAGAAGGTTTCTCTTCCAGTGAGGCTCTCAGATCCAAACTGCTGAGCAGGGTGCTGCTGGAAGGAACCATCTTTTCCCAGCCAGCCAGGCAATGCTGTAAACAAAAATGGGAATGTTTTTCCCTTTTTTATCTATTGTGGCCTGTTATTATTTAGAAGTAACTTCTGCATAACTGAGTAATTAATCTATTGTTTTTTATATGACTAACAGGAAATAAATGAAATCTCAAACAAAAGAGAACTAAAGAGTTCTCTTCCACTTTTCTAAACTGATCTTTCACTCTGAGAACTCAAGCACCTGACCCCTCTGAACCTGTCTTAACTGACTCATCCAGCTCCCTAAACCACAAAACTGAGCTTCCTCCCACCTCTTCCCTGGAAATCTCCAGGCCAGGGCTAGGTTAAATTAACACTGCCTGCAGCACTGACTGGAATGGAACACAGGACCAGCAACACAACAGCAGTTTTAAATCCACCCTTGCCACTACTGATTTTGTCAATACACTTGCCTTTCAGACTTATTAATGTCTGTGGAAACAAACACAGGCACTCTTAGCTATGTTGAGAGGCCAATGCCTGAAACAAGTCAGCCAAATCTCCACGTGGCATTTCCTTTTGTGCAGTGTAAAGCACTGGAAATGTCACACACCAAGGGATGAACTCAGAACACACCAAAGGATGTTCTGGCTATCACACTGATGCTTATCAAAAATTTTAGTGGAAACTCTGCCAAGGGAATGAGTCCCAGATTCTCTTCAAGGAGAGCTGGGGTTGTGCCTTCAGCAGGAAGGCAGTGACTCACCGAGGACAGGGCAAGGTCATCTGCTGGCTGGAAGCTGCTCCTGCGATGGGCTCGGTACCTGTGGGCTGGCAAAAGGGCCCCCCTGGGAATGCTGACCCTGGAACCACACAAGGGAATCACAGAATCACAGAATAATGAAGTTGGAAGAGACCTCCAAGATCACCAAGTCCAACCTATGCCCTAACACCTCAACCAGACTACAGCACCAAGTGCCATGTCCAGGCTTTTTTTAAACACATCCAGAGATGGTGATTCTACCACCTCCCTGGGAACAGCATTCCAGTACTTTATTATTCTTTTAGCAAAATATTTTTTCCTAATATCCAACCTATACCTTCCCTGACATAGCTTGAGACTGTGCCCTCTGGTTCTGTCAGAGACCAACCCCACCTGTCCCCAACCTCCCTTCAGGAATTGTAGAGAGCAATAAGGGCACATCTGAGCCTCCTCTTCTCCAGGCTGAGCACCCCCAGCTCCCTCCAACATTCCTCACAGGGTTTGTGTTCCAAGGAAGTAGGAAGCTGTAGGAAGTAACTGCCCACACCTCCACCAAGGCACAGGGAATCTGCATGCCTTCCCACTCAGGATCCAAGGTCTAACCCCAGAGTGAACCAAGTGAACCATTCTGGATTAGGGCAGTAGACACTTTACATGTACATTCAGATTCTGGATCAAATTCAGACAAAGCATGCGTTTCTCATTGATTTCAAGACTGTTCATGCTTATAGAAAAAAACAGTAAGGAGTTTTTAAGCAAGAGATCTCTGCTTTGAAAACAGCAACCTTCTACAGAACTGTTGGGATGCTCTTTTCTCCTTCACCTGATCAGATTTTCTTCTCTATTTTTTTCCTTGATTTGTGCACATTACAAAGCAGGAATTCTTATTTACCTGACATGGGTTGGCTCCTTCAGAGTCCCTGGGGGCTGGTGGCTGCGTGGGATCTTACACACAGGGCAGGCAGCTTCTGAATCCACAGGGATGGTGAAGAGACGCTCGTTCAATCCATAGCAGTAAACACCTGCACAGAGCAACAAACTTTCATCAGGGTTCTTGTTTGTCACAAGGTCCCTGAACCCAGCCACAAAAGCTGTGTTCTATCACAGCACCACATCTGCATTCTATAAAAAGAGCTGCTTTTCCTGAAATATCTTATACATTTCCTGTCCCCAAGTAAGTTCCTAAAAAGCAAAACCAAAACTTCAACCTCTTCAATTTAGAAACAGAACATCAGCCAATTACAAGAAACTCTAACACATTAAAATGACACTGAGAGTGGATCCCTAGAAGACTCAAGTATCTTTGGTATCTTTGAATCTGGTTGAAAAGCTGCAGCTGAAAATAACACATTCTTGCTGGTCTTGCATGACGTGGTGCTCTCTCAGGTTAAGAGGTAAAGACTGCTTAGTTCTTTATTCACAGAAATTGAATTAGGAAGAAATATGATCTTACACTTATGAGAACCAATTATCAAATCCAGTTCTTGTTCAGGACCTGTGTAATCCTCAGGCCTACAGAAACACACAAGAAAATCAGTTAGTGACAGAGGGCTGGCCCTCTGAACAGCACTGCAAACGTGACTGAGAGGTAAATAAAGACCCTCACAATGTCCTGCTCCAATCAGATTATGCTTATCATTAGTACAGGGATTACTAAGGGATTGAACTTTGCTGCTTCAGCCCTTCCCCATCCCCACTTACTCCAGGTGCTGCTGGTGAATGCAGGTTTCTCTGTTGGACTGTCGGAACTCCTGCAGCTCAGCAAAGTATTGCTCAGATTTTTCTGTTACTGGAGACTTTGTATCAAGAAGCCCTGAGAATACCAAGGAAAGAGAATGATTTAATGATTTTCAATGATTTACAAAATTTGGGAAAGTACCAAAGCAAGCCTCACAAGATACAGTCCAAACAAAATAATGACAATGAGAAGGGCAGAACATCAGGTCAAGCCAGAGATTTCTGTGTGGTTTGGGTCCCTTATTGCATTAATTCATTCCAGGTATTTGCTATCCCTTCTGACCTCACCAGGCTTTGCCATTTGCTGCCTGAATTCCCATAATACTGCCCCTCACCTCTAGTCTGGAGAGGGGCCTCAGACAAAGCTGCAGCCCCTCTGCTGGGACCTGCTCCCTTGGCCCTAGGACAGCAGCTCCATCACACCCCAAAAGGATCACAAACTGTGTTTTAACTCTAAATATCACCACAACACACTGAGAGCTTTGCTTCAGAGTTAGGATTCACCTGCAAACCAGTCATAGCCCAGCAAAGGATGGGCAGACCAGCTGCTGACAGGTATGGCATCTTCCTCATGGTCAGGCTGGAAAGTCACACGGCGAGTTTCCTTCTGAAAGAAAACAATTCATAACAACTTCTAATCACCTGCCAGGACGTTCAGAGGCACAGCTGAGCAAACAACCAGAAGCTGTTCAGATGGGACAGCTATGGTTTAGTTTGAGACTGGATTCCATCTATGCCCCTCCCAGTAATTTGCTCACCAGCTCTTTGCCTTGTCAATAAATAAAACAGAAAGAGGAGACAGGGACTTGCCCAAATAAAGCAGGATTTTTCAGAGCTTTAAACAAAATGCTGAGCTGCATCACACATCACCAAAGAGAGGGCACCTGTGCTGCCATGGAGGATGATCAAGGCCAGGGCCTGCCCTTCATGCCCAAGGAGACAAACTGTGGAACAGCAGCACTGCAGCTGCCTGCTCTCCCTCAGCATGGGGATGGCATGTGCAAAAGTGAGACAACACTTCCCAGTGAAGTGTTACAGATTTCTGATCTTTCAGATCACTGAACAAACTGCCAACAGCCCCTGGCTGCTACAGCTGGGAACAGCTCTGACCCCAAATTTCCAATTCATACAGTGGGAACAGGGGAAGTAACATTCACCCAGCCCTTCCTCCTCATCATTCTGCTGACTCAGGAAAATAAGAAAAGCATTGGTTTAACATTTACCTTCAAGTCTTTGGACTGAGGCACCAGCAAGACTGATTTAGGGCCGTGGGGCTCTCTGATGACCACATGATGCTCACCAGTCTCTTTATTTTGCACTCTGCTCAGTGATGGCCCTGGATGACATTTCTCATGGAAACCATGCAGCAGAGCAGACTGTTTTCTGTTCTCTCCATGCCCCAGGAAGGAGGATTCTTTCTCTGGACTTCCTTGAGCACCACCATCCCCATCCACTCTGGAGTTTTCTCTGCCACACATGACTGCAGACACTGGCACAACATTCTTCTCTTTCCCAGGGAAGTTGGAATCAAGACCTGCTCCTTCCTGTGTCTTTGCTTGTTGTTGCTGCACCCCTCTGGCACTGCTGCTGTGTTCTGGAGATGAACTGAGGGCTGGGCCAGCTCTGGGCTCCACAGACACCTTTATTCCAGGCTCAGATTTTACTGCATCAGCCCGATTTTCCTCCTGTAAGGACAGACTCTCTTAGCACTCTATCACCAGTCAGACTACAAACACCTTTTGTAAGAACATTTCACTCACTAAATCAACCTCTCAGTCTAGTCTGTTCACTCCTTTAAATTCCTGCAGGGGAAAAAGAAAAATCCTTATGTTCTGGAGAGTGTAAGAAAGAGATCCAGTGGAAGAGATCCACCTCCAATGGAAGCTTTTCTCTAAATGCAGCTTTTCCCAATTCCAGGAACCATTGAACTTTCAGCCCTTGTGCTTAGAAGAAACAAAAGGATTTTGTTCCACAATGCTCATTCCTATCTTAGAAGAAGAAACTTGCCTTTCTTAGGCAGGAACTGATCTCCAAACCCTTTGCCAGGAGAACAGATTGAGACCACAGAGTAAGCAATAACCAAGGGACTTTTCTAACAGACTCCATATTCCACAAACCCCTTTCTAAGAGCTCTTCCATGTCCAAATGTCTCCTTGACCACACCAAACCACAGACAGAGCTGCTGTTTGTCATGCAGGCCCATTTGCTCCCTGAATTTCTAGCACATACCACTCTCCTGGACAAGAGGCTCAATCTCTCAGCAGATGCAGTGCCATGATGAGATGCTGGAAGGAGCTGCTTTCTGGGAAGTTCTTTTCTCATCTTCTCCTGCTTCATTCTCAGCCTCTGCAGAAGGTCCTGGCTGGCCTGGCGCAGCCTCATCATGAGCTCCAAGTCCATCCTACAAAAATATTTTAATGTAAAGTCAGAAGGAGAGTGAACTACATAAATTCAACTATATTAAGTGAAGCAGCAGACACACTTTCAGGGGATTTTTCCTAAAAAATACTTACAGCTGTTGAAATGTTGATTCTTGCTCCTGAGAAATCAGCCAGTCTCAAAACTCTGGATGCTCAGAACCAGCACAAGATGCTTCTCTCTCCTTGGATAAACTGCCAAATATTTTGCAGTCAGAAACTGGGAGCTGACCAAACCAAGAAACTCTGACAGAGGAAACAGTAAACAAGAAAAATTCACATAAAAAACCTAAATAAGAGACATTTGGCTTAGAGGCTGTTATTTAGGACATACTTATGCAATTCTATTGTAATGTTCTTTTGAAGCATGGAAATTTATATTGTGATAACACCAGGATGCTTGTAAGTTCGAAGTATAACTAATTAATGTGAATATATCTGCTACATCCAAAAGAAATACAGAGTCAAAGCTGTTTCCATGTTCCCTGGGCAGGAAGGCTCCAAAAGGCTCAACTGTGACACAGGACTACAGTTCAGGCAATTCCAATCCCACAAATTAATTAAATTAAATCCCACAAATGGATGCCCTTTTATTAGAAGAGGGAGTTAATAATCAGATAAATAAATAAAGCCGAGTTTGACTGAAAGGCTGTCACACTGTTCAACATCTTTACAATATCATAAGTGCCTCTAAATTCGCAGAAAGTGGATTTTTAAATAAAACAGCTGCAAACCCTAAACCCAAACTCCCACATTGCTTTTGGCTAGACTGATAAATTATGTTCTCAGGAAGACTTTGTGTTTCTCTGTGACCTTTTGTTCTAAAGGATCCCCAAAACCTTCCGCAAAGCTCATCTAATTTGTGTTTGCATCTGCTGCCTTGGCAACTGGACATGAGGAATCAAATGCACATGTGATACAACAGCAGTGAGAGGAATCAAGAGCACTGCTAACTATCAACAAACGACAACATCTCTTTGGTACAAAAAATAAGGGAGAGGTGCATTACAAAACATAAAATAGAAATATCAGTGTTGAAGCATTAAATTTGAGACAATTTGAAAAACCAGTCGTTCTCACAGCCTTCACAGGACACAGCTAATAGATTTGACGAGCAACTCATCATTGCTTATCAGAAAGCAAATACTCGGAAAATAACATCAGTCAAGGGACTTTCTGGAAGGGTTTTACCAGATGAGGTCCACTCTTGGCATAATCTACAAATCCTTCATGTCCAGCCCCGGGGGCTCAGGTTTATAACCTGCTGCAATTTGAAATCTTTCTGAAAAGGAGTTTCACCTCCCTCAGTTAATAAACAACGGTTGTGCGGGGAGCTGAGAACCCTGCGAGGGGGGTGTTTAAACTGCGCGCTGTTTCTGCACAGATGCGCTGGTTCGGACCGCCAATGCTCACAAGCGAGAGCCCGAGCACTGTGAAATCGTAAAATTGTGAAATTCCCCTTTCCTATCCGAGAGGCCGGTCCGGCAGCGGCAGAGATCGGTGAACTCTTCCTTCCCTCCCTCCCCGGCAGTGCGGGGAGCCCG